CAAGTCGAAAACCAATGTGCTCTAGTTGTGGCTCTGGCTATGCCCTGTGTCCTCCTGAAGATGGTCACTATGGCAAAGAGGGGGGACCATAGATCGGGCATCTCTGTACAACGCTGCGGTATATGTCAGAGCTATATAAATGTATTATAATAGTGTGGGGAGTGGGAGTGTAAGCTTCCCTGGTGCAGAGACCACCAGCGGGGGGGGGGTGCTTTACTACATGATATCAGAATACAGCATCTGTAGAGAACTGACTGTACATCATAGAGAAGCATGGAGACTAACATTGCACTACAGCGCCATCTACAGGTCCAAAACACATCATTACACAAGTCATACAAATCACATATATGCTGTAGCATTTCGAAAACTTTACACAATAAAAACGGGCGGAGCTTCGAGGGGGAGCTGAAAACAAAGGGGCGGGTTTGACCAAACCGGGTGGAGCAAAACAAAAAACTTTTTATTATTTTACTTTTGATTGGCCCGGACAAGTGACCCCCTGATGCTGAATATACGACGTCCGAATGTCTGCCGGGAATGATTTTAAAAAAATCTTACTTTCGGTCATTGTCCTACGATGAAAATTAAGGGAGATTGCAGTACTTACATCCAACACCAGGTGGTGATCTCACAGACAGGAAGTGATGTAAGGTACAGACAGGAAGTGATGTAAGAGTATAAAAAGGAAGTTCCGGTTGAAAGGTGAATTGAACGTAAGTAGAGAGGAGACATTGCTGGAACTGGCAGCAGAGGAGGTAATAAGATATTATATTATATCTACACCTGGTAGCCTCCCCCCCCGTCATGTCCGTCCTCGTCCTACATAGTCATTTATCGCAAGCAACTGCTTCACACAAATGTATTTATTTTCACAGAACATCACCGATTCTCCGCCGAACAACAGAGGTGACCAGAGCCAAGAAGATTCTCGAAGTCACCCAGAAGATCACTGATCTGCTGACGGGAGAGGTGAGTGGTGCCGGGAATTCTGGGACATGATCCAGGAACAGACAAGGGGTGTGTCTGGGTGGTGACTGTATCATTGTGTGTGTCAGGTTCCTATAAGGTGTCAGGATGTCTCTGTCTATTTCTCCATGGAGGAGTGGGAGTATCTAGAAGTAAACCGGGATCTCTACAAGGACGTGGTGATGGAGAATGCCCCGCCCCTCACATCACCGGGTAAGAGGAGAGAGCAGTACGGAGGGTCCACCTAGATCCCCCATCATCTGATACACACATAGAAACAATGTACTCAGTCAGTGTGTGTGTTTCCTACAGATGGATCCAGTAAGAGGAACCCACCAGAGAGATGTCCCCGTCCTCTGTATTCCCGGGATTCCACACAGGAAGATCTCACCATCCCTCATGAGGTGAAATAATAGATAATAGGAGATACATTATGACCTGATCATTATCTATGTAGTTACATCTGATCTCATTGTTCTCAATATTCAGGGTATAAACCAGAGTGATTGTGATAATGATGTTAAAGACGAGATAAAAGAGGAGGATAATGAGGTTGGTGTTATGGAGGAGTTTTTAGAGGAACACAAAGCCCCCTTTATTGAAGTCATCATGGAACCATTCTGTGACACAAGCCTACCAGAGAGATGTCCCCGTCCTCTGTATTTCCGGGATCCCACCCAGGAAGATCTCACCATCCCCCACCATGATCAGGTAGGTGGGACTCGGAATGTAGATATAAAGATGTATTCAAAGCTGCCAGATAATATTTTTCTCCGTGACCTCTTGTTCCTTTGTATGTTATGAACTTTGTGAGGTGACGTTTTTCTATGGAGTCTCCTAAAATGTTTTACTTTTATATCTGAAGTGCAGTCACTGCTCCCCCTCGATAGTTTCCAGGCCAACATTTTTAGCTATTCCTAAAAATGAACATACTGTATGTACCTCCTATTCCATGGGTCTTGGGTCCAGTCATGTGACATCACGGGTCTTCTTCCTCCTTGTTCTCCTCCAATGGTGGGCATCTGCTGAATGGTTCAGCTTTATGAGATGTTTTCTATTATTTTGGGGATTAGGGTGAAGAACGGATCAATATAAAAGCTGAGGTTAAAGAGGAAGAAGTGGAGACGTATGTGGGGGGTGACCGGCCGTCCACGGAGGAGGTCGGGATGATGATGAAAAGTGATCAGGATGACATTTCTCTACCGATCAACACAAGTAAGTAACAGACACTATGGAGGGAACAGGTCACAGTTCTATGTCACTTCTGAGTATCTCCATTCCTCAATATAACGTCATGTGAGCAACAAATGAGGAGGAGATACTGTACACCATATGAAGGTCCATCTCCATTCCTCAATATAACGTCATGTCCCCAACACATGAGGAGGAGATACTGTACACCATATGAAGGTCCATCTCCATTCCCCAATATAACGTTATGTATAAGGTGTGAGGAGCACGTCCAAGTGATCAGATGTCGTGTCCCCCAAATAGACACGGGGGGGGGACTAACTTTTTGATCCAGTTTTTAGGTGACCTGTGGGTCAATGTTTACATAATTCTTGGATGGGAGGACCAAGTAAGGAAGACTAAAAAAAAAGGGGGAGGGAGGAGAAAATAAAAATGCAAAGAGGTAACCTAAAGAGGGAGAAGAGGAGAGCACATCACCTGAACACTTTAAATATCAAAACAGACGTTTATAACATAATATTTACCCCTACGTCCCACCACACGCCCCACACCAGAACAAACCCACAGGTCAACAGGAAATGTACTCACAATGAAGCCGGTAGTATAGGCCACCCAATGTACCACCCGACTGCCTTTGAAGATACCATGAAGTGTGGGAAAGGTTCTGAGAACAGGTATTCAGACCACGCGTGGAAAAATGTAGCTGTCTGATCCTGAGGGTGTGTGGACGCATGAATCCTATCGGAACGCATCATCTTCTTCAGGGGTGGTCATCCTCTCTGGGGCGTTGTCATGAAAGCCTATAGCTGTTTTGATACCTTAAATACGTAAGTGTTCCTCATTACTCAACTGAGGTGTCCCCGTTACGGAATCTTGGGATAGAGTGTGGAATTGACGGGTTGGGAAGCCTCATGACACCAGTGACCTTCCCCATATAATTCCATTCTTGATCCCGGAACCTTGCAATCTTATGGCATGACCAAAATAACTGAGCAAGGTCTGGTGAACGGTGGTCATCGCGCGGACAAGTGTGGAGGAGGAGTCTCAACGTGGGGTATGAAACGCCCGATAAGCACAACCTGTACGTCCCTCCATTGTTTCTGTTGTCCGATGGACCGTTGGCCACCCTCAAGAGCAGGGATAGCCAAGCTCTGGTCCTCCAGCTGTGGTGGAACTTCAAATCTCATGAGGGCAACATTCTCACAGACACGGCTCCCGGGCAGAGAGATGCATCATGGGATTTGTAGTTTCACCACAGCTGGAGGACCGGAGTTGGGCTACTCCCTGCTCTAGAGAGAAGATCGGACGTATCCGCTACCGAGAGGCCCAAAAGATCCGCCCACTTCCGTACGTACAGGTGGAGAGGTCAAAGAAAACGTATGTGGGGGGTGACCGGCCGTCCACGGAGGAGGTCGGGATGATGATGAAAAGTGATCAGGATGACATTTCTCTACCGATCAACACAAGTAAGTAACAGACACTATGGAGGGAACAGGTCACAGTTCTATGTCACTTCTGAGTATCTCCATTCCTCAATATAACGTCATGTGAGCAACAAATGAGGAGGAGATACTGTACACCATATGAAGGTCCATCTCCATTCCTCAATATAACGTCATGTCCCCAACACATGAGGAGGAGATACTGTACACCATATGAAGGTCCATCTCCATTCCCCAATATAACGTTATGTATAAGGTGTGAGGAGCACGTCCAAGTGATCAGATGTCGTGTCCCCCAAATAGACACGGGGGGGGGACTAACTTTTTGATCCAGTTTTTAGGTGACCTGTGGGTCAATGTTTACATAATTCTTGGATGGGAGGACCAAGTAAGGAAGACTAAAAAAAAAGGGGGAGGGAGGAGAAAATAAAAATGCAAAGAGGTAACCTAAAGAGGGAGAAGAGGAGAGCACATCACCTGAACACTTTAAATATCAAAACAGACGTTTATAACATAATATTTACCCCTACGTCCCACCACACGCCCCACACCAGAACAAACCCACAGGTCAACAGGAAATGTACTCACAATGAAGCCGGTAGTATAGGCCACCCAATGTACCACCCGACTGCCTTTGAAGATACCATGAAGTGTGGGAAAGGTTCTGAGAACAGGTATTCAGACCACGCGTGGAAAAATGTAGCTGTCTGATCCTGAGGGTGTGTGGACGCATGAATCCTATCGGAACGCATCATCTTCTTCAGGGGTGGTCATCCTCTCTGGGGCGTTGTCATGAAAGCCTATAGCTGTTTTGATACCTTAAATACGTAAGTGTTCCTCATTACTCAACTGAGGTGTCCCCGTTACGGAATCTTGGGATAGAGTGTGGAATTGACGGGTTGGGAAGCCTCATGACACCAGTGACCTTCCCCATATAATTCCATTCTTGATCCCGGAACCTTGCAATCTTATGGCATGACCAAAATAACTGAGCAAGGTCTGGTGAACGGTGGTCATCGCGCGGACAAGTGTGGAGGAGGAGTCTCAACGTGGGGTATGAAACGCCCGATAAGCACAACCTGTACGTCCCTCCATTGTTTCTGTTGTCCGATGGACCGTTGGCCACCCTCAAGAGCAGGGATAGCCAAGCTCTGGTCCTCCAGCTGTGGTGGAACTTCAAATCTCATGAGGGCAACATTCTCACAGACACGGCTCCCGGGCAGAGAGATGCATCATGGGATTTGTAGTTTCACCACAGCTGGAGGACCGGAGTTGGGCTACTCCCTGCTCTAGAGAGAAGATCGGACGTATCCGCTACCGAGAGGCCCAAAAGATCCGCCCACTTCCGTACGTACAGGTGGAGAGGTCAAAGAAAGCTCAGTTTTCCCGCCATTCGTAATGCCGGAGATAATTGTGATGGGGGGTATGTAGGGCTGAGGGCCGCCGACATTAGGCCGAGTCATCTGAGAAGTGTTAGGCATGGTGAGAGGAAAAGATTTGGTCGGAGAATATTGAAGGGAAGGATCGGTGGAAGTCCTCTACTTGGCCACTAGTTGTGAAAAGGAGGAATGTCTCCCCTGATCATCCAGCAGATGGCGCAACTCCTGAATGCCCCTGGCAGCCCATAGTCTGCAAATGGGGAGGAAATACC